ACAAATATCATACCTGATATCTGTGACAAACGTATAATTCAGTCAGATAGAGCAATTTTTATTCAACTACAAACCAGTAACACTTGGTTATTTGCAGTTCCTCATCCAGAAACTCTTACGATATCATGTAATAATAAAAAAAATCACGTAGATGTAATACTAAAAAATTGCGGTAGTGTCACTATAGGTAAACAATGTAAAGCTTATAGCGCATCATCAATGCTAATCCCTCATGGAAATACAGTCCAGTCCAATATTTCAAGTGATTTTATTCCACCATTCGACATTAGTGATAATTGTTGCGAAAGGATAAAGGAAGAAAAAATAAACATTAGTGAAATATTTCTCAACGAACATTATAGGAAATTAACAAAGCACATCCCCGAACTTAATGTAGCGAGCCATAAGCTAGAAGATATTGAAAAGTTAGGTGATGAAATTCTAAAAAGGAAACTTGTAAACAATTATACATTTCCAGCATCTGTAATTGCCTATATCTTAGCTCTTCTTGCTATTATTTTTATTATTTATAAATTGTATACAAAATGTACTAACAAGACAGCCTGTTGCGGAATTATTCCAAACTTATGCATTAGAGTTAATCAGTCTGTGGAACCATCTTCTAGAAATAGTGATAGATATGTTGCTCATTATAATCGTAATATTAGCCAAAACTCTGAAAATGTAGGTAACTATGAAAACTCCGAAGAAGAGAATGTTAATTTACAGGCGCCCTCGCGCAGACCCATTGGGTATGTACCATCAAGGCGACCATTAAAAGAAAAATAATTTCCGCATTTGATACATTTTTAAATCTGCAATAGTTATAAAAAAAAATGTTAGTTAAGTTAGAATGTAAGTTAGTTATAATTAGTAGTTAAGACTTGTATAATACTTTTATATATGTACTTTTATTCATTTCCATCTGAGTTATACTAATTAATTATATAAACATTTGTTTTGAGATTTCATATCACTTTCACCTCATGAAATCTCTCATTAAGGGGGGAGGTGTTGTGAACATACATTTAATATGGTTATATGTATATGTATATTCGACAAATTGTATAAAATATTATTTTTACCCTTATTCTACGGCTATGCCTAAAGAATTTAAGGTACGAAAAATACCATCAACATTATTATTCTTCTCAGAAAGATGGGTGATGCAAATAAACAGAACCATTACCTTAAGATGAAATTTGGAAGAAATAGTCATAAATAGTTGCATCATTTTTAGTTTTCCTTTGTAATTCGTTTACTTTCAGACGCGATGTCTGGTTTCTATTTACTTAAGAAATGGTCATGTTTGTCCCTTTGCAAACCTACCTGAAAATATTATTAAGAAATAGTAGGTACGCCCGTGGATTTTCGGAGAGGGCATTCTCATAAAAGCACGGTCACAGAAGGGACCGGGAACATTCATAAAAAATTTTCATAGACGTAATACTGCTAAATTTATATTTTGTATTAAAAGTTTAAAAATAAAAAGTAATAACAACTTAGTAAGAATTTAATTATAAAAAAATAAAGAATAACATTCCCAACAAGTGGTGATACGAGTCAAATAGAGAACTACAACATTTGGTGGCAGCGACTACAAGATTGGTGACGACGGTGGTCCAATCCAGGATCACGACAAAACTTATCAACTTATCCCAATAAATATTTGACAACGCCTTGGATTCATTTGTCTTAACGCCTGTTGGCGGTGGAAACCATGCAAGCTTTTTCTTTGTCCTAAGTTGATAATTAAAAAAATTATAATCATATAAAAAAATATGGTAATTAGTCTAAATTTATTATTTATGTGATTCTGCTCTTTCTCGTATAATTTGCCCCTTTCTCATACGGAAATAGTTAGATTAAAATAGCCAAACTGTACCTAACAACCCATGCCTTGACATATTTTCTTTTAAAATAATATCGCTTTCTTTATCCGCCGGTCCAGACTCGACCTTGCCCTAGACGCTGGCTCTATCAACTTAAGTACGTGTTGACAGGCAGGTTATTGAACCCATGTTGCTTCTAGCATGTCGTTTTTTCAAAGATGGGTCCCATATAAACGCGGCCAGAAGTATTTTCAATACTAAAAATCCTTTTGATCTGAAGCGAGCGACTTTTTTTGCGGAATATATTGGTGACCGATGTGGAAAACCGAAACGCGCCGTAGAATGTTAATGATATCGGTATCGGGCAGAGTTATAAAGATTTAGCCATTTGGGATATTATTTTAATTGGAAATAAGTCCTAGTCACTTGGAAATCCGATTTAAATTTTGTTTTGAATTAAAATCAAAAAAATCTGATTTAAATCAAAAATATCTGATTTAAATTTAAAAAAATCTGATTTTTTTGATTTTTTTAAAAAAAATCATGATTTTTTCCAACCCTGCTTTAACCTCCTGTAGGTACGAAATAAATCAGTACTTTTACTTGAGGACTCTTCCTACGAGTGATGGTACATGTTTTTTGAAACACCCTGTATATCATAGCCAATGCATAAATATCTAATAATTAGGCCAGAAAGCGAGGATAAAAATTGGGTGTTACATCCGAATTCTTGACACCCGCACCGATTGACGTGAAATTTTAACACTGAATTATAGAAGCGATGTTACCCTGGAGGTGAGTGCCACCCCTTTTCGGGGGTGAAAAATTAATCACCCATTTTAATTGCAAAAACGATTAAAGGGATTAATTCTAAGCAAAAAATGTTCTATAACATTTTTTCAGAAAATTAATATTTTTAGAGTTATTTAGGATTGAAAATGTTGATTTTTCATCTAAAAACTGCATATTTTTCTGCCATTTTTTATAAATAACTCGAAAACCTTGCGTTTTATCGGAAAACTCGTATGAATCAAAAATGAAGCTTTTGGAATAACGAAACGATTCATTTTGTTGATTACCGTAGCGTAGGTGTAATAATAGCCGAGTTATCACTCTGGCAAAGTGATTTTTTATTTTTCGAAAACTAAATTGCAACCTTTTAAGAAAATGAATATGTCCGTTTTTAAAGTGCTTGAAAAGATCTTTTAAATGCCCTTTTTAAAAGGTATTTTAGCTCAAAAACCCGTGGTGTTATGATAAAAATAAAATGGTCACCTTATTTTTTTTTCGGAAAAAAATAACAACAAAATCAATGACTGAAATCATAAAAATAAAAAATCAATTTGTAGGAAATTACACGAGCTACAAATTAACCTCTATTATAGTTAAACAGTCTTGAACTCTTCATTTTTACGAGATTTTTGGGTTTTAAGGATTCAAAGAAGGTGGTCCTTACACGCAAGTCAAACTAAAAAAACGTAATATCTACGAAATAAAGAGATCTACAAAAAATTGAAAGCGAGTAAAAATATTGCAAAAAAATACCTTCAATTTTATTCTGTTGCATTTTTTATCTTGCTTAGTTTTTGAGAATTGTCAAAAAAATTCATTTATTTTTATAAATAGTTAATAAAAAATGTTCATTATTTTCAACTTTTTTCCAAATTTAGGCATTCTAAACCGCGCGAACTTGCAGAGCCCGGTGTTAGTATCTAAATATAGCCACCTGTACATGTGTTACGCTTAGTTTTTGATTTTTATGATTGAGATTTTTTTTCCGAAATAATGAGGTGACCATTCTACTTTTATCCTAACTCCGCGAGTTTTTGAGCTACGAACTTTAAAAAAAAATTAAAAGGTCTTTTCAAGTACTTTAAAAACGATCATACCTATTTTCTTCAAAAAAAATGTGTTCTTTCGCCATTATTTTACGGTAAAATGCAATTTAGTTTTTGAAAAATAAAAAATCACTTTTACAGACAATTTTATTCTGTTGCATTTTTTATCTTGCTTAGTTTTTGAGAATTGTCAAAAAAAATCATTTATTTTTATAAATAGTTAATAAAAAATGTTCATTATTTTCAACTTTTTTCCAAATTTAGGCATTCTAAACCGCGCGAACTTGCAGAGCCCGGTGTTGTATCTAAATATAGCCACCTGTACATGTGTTACGCTTAGTTTTTGATTTTTATGATTGAGATTTTTTTTCCGAAATAATGAGGTGACCATTCTACTTTTATCCTAACTCCGCGAGTTTTTGAGCTACGAACTTTAAAAAAAAATTAAAAGGTCTTTTCAAGTACTTTAAAAACGGTCATACCCATTTTCTTCAAAAAAAATGTGTTCTTTCGCCATTATTTTACGGTAAAATGCAATTTAGTTTTTGAAAAATAAAAAATCACTTTTACAGATTGATAACTCTAATAATGAATCGTTTAGTTATTCCAAAAGCTTCATTTTTGCTTTATATGAGTATTGCAATAAAACGCAAGATTTTCGGGTTATTTATAAAAAATTGCAGAAAAATATGCAGTCTAGATGTAAAATCAACATTTTCAATCCTAAATAACCAGGAAAATACTAATTTTCTGAAAAAACGTTATAGAACATTTTTTGCTTAAAATTAATCCTTTTATTGATTTTTGCAATTAAAATGGGTGATTTATTTTTCACCCCCGAGAACACATCCCCAGGGTGATAACACACATCGTTACTATATAAATTTTGTTTCTTACATATTTATGTATATTGCTATTACTGTTAAAATTTCACGTTAATCGGTGCAGGTGCTCAGAATTCGGACCCTTAAACCCTTGCTTGCTGGCCTAATTTTGCAATATAATGAAATGTTTCAAAAGTTTTAAGAATCTTTATAGACCACAAAATAAAAACACTAAATCACCACAATACACCAAAACACTTTTACTTTTACACTGGACGCGCGTTTTGCTAACCATGTTAGCATCATCAGCAGATGATTATAAACTGACTTTATAGACATTAAAAAATTGATATTAAAAAAAGAATATGGAATTCCAAATTTTTATTTAAATCAAAATAATTTCCAATGTTTAAATAACTAAATATAATAAAATTAGCAGTGTTTTTGTATTTTTTAAATAATGTTTTATAGGTGGTCTCTTTATTATTTCCAAATTAATAGATTACCTTGAGTTCCTGATAAAAGTTCAATCGTATTTCCAAAAATGGGCACTGGTGTTGGTCCTGGAATATTTCGAAGGTACTTTCCATTCCGTCTAATTTTACTGCTATACCACCAGACTATTAAAATTATTACAAACACGAAAATAATAACAGTAGATGGCATGGCAATAGTACCGAGCACAGTAAATGAGTGAGCAATATCCTAATAAATGTGTGATTAAAAATATCAAAACACAACTGTCGCTGTATTGTGCTTCACTTTTCAAATATATTAATGTATTCATTCCATTTCGGGTTACTTTAATACTTTTTACGCACATATTTTATTTTTCGATGATTTTATACCGTGCGATGCAAAACATTTTAATTTTTGTTTCGGTCTTTGTAGCGCGTTGGGATAATAGTTAATGACAGAAAAATACCAAAAGAAAATAAAGACAGAGAGAGAAATATAAAAAATTGTGAAAATTTGTGAAAAATTACACAACAATAGCTAGATTTAATAGAAGTAATTTATCTCATGGAGGTACTATGATAATGTCTACCAACAAAAACCTTACGGCAATAACAAAATTTGATCACTTATTAGCCGAGAAAATGTTTGAATTTTCTATCATCTACCACATTGCTTATGACCTCTATATTGTTTGTATTTATAGAACACCTGACGCAGATATGCATATGTTCTTTCAGAAATTACTGAGTTTGCTAGAGTCCCTGCCTGTGAATAGCAGGTTGATCTTGTGTGGTGACCTTAATATTGACTTCTCCAGTGTGTGTGATGCTCGGGTATCTCTCCAGTCTATCTTCGAGACTTTTGGTGTAGTAATGCATGTTAATGCACCAACAAGAATCACTAGAACTTGTTCTAGTACTATAGACTATGTCGTGTCATCCTTTGATCCAGAATTGGTTGACTGTACTGTGTTGAACTCAGGCTTCTCTGATCATGAAGGAGTATTAACAAAATTTTCCATAAAATCCGAGAGTAGAAACACTTTTCGTAAATTAGGACGTATTTTTTCGGAAAAAAACTTTATAAATTTTAAGCAGCTTTGTCTAACAACAGATTGGCATGTCATCTCTGGTGATGTAGACACTGAAGTTTCCAGATTTACACAAACATTATCTGGTCTGGCATCCAAAGCCTTTCCTCTCAGGCCTGTCAAAATTAAACATCATAAACCCTGGACTATTAAGGGCCTACGTACATCTGCAAAAAACATGCGCTCTTTATTCACCTAAAAAAATTCTCGGATAGTGTCTTCTTTCACGAGTACGTGAAACTTTACAGGAAAATTTACCATAAGACTATAAAAGCCGCCAAGGACATCTATTACAATAGGAGGTTGACTGAGTCCGGTAATATTGCCAAAGAAACATGGTCGATTGTGAATGACTTGAGGAGTAAGGTTTCTTCGTCCAACATAACCTCAACTTCACCTGAGGACCTAAACAATTACTTTGTAAATGTGGCGAAGAATATAGTGAATACTATCTCACCCTCCCTTGATCCTCTATCATTTCTCTCTGACTATAATGTTAATTTGCACAGTTTCTTCCTTACGCCTGTGGGGTTGGCAGAGCTCGCATAATACATTAAATGATATTAAAATAAATCTTCAGCAGGGACTGACGGACTTACTCTTAAAATGTTCTCTAGTATGCCGGAATGTACATTAAACCATCTTTCAGCCTTAATTAATATGTCATTTGAAGATGGTGCTTTTCCAAATTGCCTTAAGTCGGCGATAATTATTCCTTTGCATAAAGGAGGTGATAAAGAGCAAGCTTCCAACTATCGTCCAATTGCACTCCTTCCCACGTTATCGAAGATCATGGAGAGACTGGTTAAAAAGAGGCTTGTATCATTTCTTCTAAAATACAAAATACTCACCCCCTTTCAGTTTGGGTTCTTGAGTAACAAATGTACAAATGACGCTATGTTTTCGCTGTTTAATAATGTATACTCCAGTCTGAACAACCGTCCCGTTACAGCAACAATTTTCTGTGATTTCTCGAAAGCTTTCGATTGTGTTAATCATAACATCCTAACTAACAAATTGCAGTACTATGGTATCAGGGGAACGCCTCTTGAATGGTTTAAGTCCTACCTTAACAACAGAAACCAGCGTGTGAGGGTTGATAAGACTGTGTCTTCTTGCAAGCCAATAGAATGCGGAGTACCTCAGGGCTCAGTGCTAGGTCCTATTTTGTTTCTGTTGTTTATCAACGATATTGCTAGTCTGGACATCAGTGGTAAAATCTGTCTCTTCGCGGATGATACTTGTTTCACATGGAGCAGCCCGGACACCACGGCACTTCATAGAACCATTTCCAGTGACTTAATCAACATAAAAACATGGTGCGATTCTAATTATCTGTGTCTCAACGTCTCTAAAACTAAAGTCTTATCATATAAAAGTACGTTGCTACCTTTTCAACTTGATAATACCACCATTGACGTCGTTGATTCTGTGAAATTTTTAGGCCTTGTTGTGGACAACTATTTAAAATGGGATTTGCACATCGATGCTTTAGCTAAAAAATTAAGTTCTGCCTGTTTCGCACTTAGATCAGTTGCTAATGTGCTTAATTTGTCAACATCTAGGACAGTCTATTATGCCCTTTATGAGTCGCATCTCCGATACGCACTTCCATTCTGGGGTGCGTGTTGTGCGACTCAATTTGAGCGTATCTTCAAATTACAAAAGAGAGCTGTGCGATATTCACTGAGGCTAACCAGTTGTGCTCACTGCCGGGACTTGTTTAGAAGATATAAAATATTAACTCTTCCTTCCCTATTCATACTCGAATCCGTCTGCCTAGTTCGCAAGCACGTATCGAGTATTTCTCTAGAGCCAGTTCATGGCTATCCAATTAGGAACGCAGAGCATAACATGTATCTGCCAACCCCTCACTCTGAGTTAGTAAAGAGTTCCCAATTGTACAATGCAAAAAAAAATGCACTATCATCTGCCATCTGAAATTAATTCCATTTCATCCTTTCCTGCATTTCGCAGAGCCTTGAGATCATACTTACTGGAGAAAGCCTTTTACGCGGTTAACGATTTTTTTATTAATATCTAGGGTTCTAAATTTAACACACATTCACTAAATTTAGAAATGATTTTGTTTTCTATCCATTTAAATTTAGTATTGACATTATATACAGTTGTTTATTTACATGTATGTTTATATTTTATTTATATTTAATTAAATAAATTTTTGACAATGTACAATTTCTATAATTGTATAAAGTATTGTTTTAGTTTTGTATGTTTGCTGTTAGTTTTATATGTTTTTCTATTGTTAAGTGAAGTTTTGTATGTTTTTTATATTCTTTTTTTTTAAGCTTTGTCAACAAAATTGTAAAATTTTTTTATGACAATAAAGCAATTTCTTAATAAAAAATTAAAATATTAAATTATTAATTTAATTTAAAAAATTAATATTAATTCAATTATATATAAATATACAAAAATTGTATGTGCACCATGTACGCATATTTGTAGTAAAAATTCTTAGTAACATGCTTATTAACATGCTTAGTAACATACTTAGTAACATGCTTAGTAACATGCTAAGGACATGCTTGAAAAAGTGACATATGTATAATGCTGTTTTAATATAAATAGAATTTTCAAGAAGTTTAATTAAGAAGTGAACAAATTTTGAACATATCGAACAATTTGTATTTATAGTGATTTACAGTAATTTTGTTAAATTATAAGAATATTTTCGTTGATTATTGGTTTGAAATAATGCAAGTTGCTTAACTCTAATAATTCTAATTTTGAGCTAGCAAATGAGCTAAATGCTAGACCGTCATTCAAAAGCTACAAACCTATCGATGAAAATATGCAAGAAATTTTACTTCCTAGCACACACCCAGAGAAGAGAACCAGAACCAGAACCAGAGGTACCCAGGTACAGGGTGGCTTGAATTCGACGCTCATCATTGGGATTTCGGAAACCGTAAGGGATGCAAAATCGGTTAAATAGAGGCAAAGTTGCGCAATTTGATGCTCAATAAAATGCCGTATTGCATTTTGAAAAATTCCGAATACTTCCGATTATATTCGAAAAAAAACGGAATTTTCAATTTTGTTTTCTATTGTTTCCTGGCTTTATTTGTTAAGATAACTTAAAATGAAAAACACATTTTCCTGGCCACTTTTTCTGCTCTATAACTCTGTGTGATTAAATATTGACCATGACGTTTCGGCTTCTGGCGACCATCATCAACTTAATTTTTTTAAATACGGACCTGATTTTTTTTCAATTTAATTAAATCCTTTTATCACTCTTAAAACACTATATATAGTCACTTTGATATTTACCGACGTTTCGTACAGAAAATTCCATCACCGGAATATTTTATGCAAAAAAAATAAAAAATAAAAATGCAATACGGCATTTTATTGAGCATCAAATTGCGCAACTTTGCCTCCATTTAACCGATCCTGTATCTCTTACGGTTTCCGAAATCCCAATGATGAGCGTCGAATTCGAGCCACCCTGTACAGTAGATATCAAGTTTATTATAAAGCTTTTCTTAGCTTTAAATCAAATGTTTTTCAGTGTTTTCGCGATCCTTACCACTTTTTTTCTCGCTAGCTCGTGCGTCAAGGCATGGTCAAGGTAATGTCGTGTCAAGGCCGTGGTGTGTCACGACCTTGAAATTTTACTCCCATCACGAGTAAAGAAGTTTCACTTCAATAAATTTTGTTGTTGAAACTCAAATGGGACTGGTTTAGGTTTTTTTAGTAGCAGGGGCGGATCGTGAATTTTTGGGGCCCTGGGCTGAAACTACTTAGAGGCCTACATAAGTACTCAACTAATAGCCATATCAAAAAACTGTTTCTATATTGATATATTATTTTTCTTCTTCTTTACGTGCCGTCTCTTTCGTGGAGGTTGGCGATCACATTGGCAAAATCTTCACGATTCTCTCCTTATAAGTTCTTCAAAAGTTAGGTGAGTCCAGTTTCTGATGTTTCTCAATCAAGAGAGTTTCTTCCTGCCGAGACCTCTCTTTCCTTCAATCTTACCCTTAACTATCAATTGTAAGACGTGGTATTTTTCATTTCTCAATATATGCCCTAAGTATGATGTTTTTCTTATTTTTATTATATTGAGCAATTCTCTTTCTCTGCCTATTCTGCTGTAGACTTCGGTATTTGTGATATGTGGATTTAAGTAACATAAATGTTACTTAAATCTACGCAAGTATTAGTTGTACA